TGCAGCTGTGCGATGCTGACAGTTAATATGGACTATCTATATGGACTATAAATCTCTGAGGAATGTTTCCAGCAGGTTTTTGAATCTATACCAGTGAGAACTGAGGCAGTTTTCTAAAAGGGAGTCCAGTCTAGTACATGTCAGATATACCTCATAAAGTGACTGGTGAATGTACTTATTCCACTTTTGCACTGTATTAGTATTATTCTTTTAAATTTACGGAGGATTACAATAAATTCCTGCATTTAAAAATATTTATTGTTACTTTCATGATCCCACCTCTTGTTTTTATTAAAATGCTCTCCCGAGTCTTCAAATCAAGATAAACAGAAATCATATTTTTTACGGTCGCAGCAGATGGCCGCCCCTCCCTGAGCCTGGTTCTGCTGGAGTTTTCTTCCTGTTAAAAGGGAATTTTTCCTTCCCACTGTCACCAAAGTGCTTGCTCATAGGGGGTCATTTGATTTGGGTGTTTTTTTCTCTGTTTGTATTATTGTAGGGTCTACCTTACAATATAAAGCGCCTTGAGGCAACTGTTGTTGTGATTTGGCACTATATAAATTGAACTGAATTGAATTGAATTGAATTACAGACATGCGTCAAATCTATTCTGTTTCTTGTTCACATTTTTTTTTAAAAATCTATTCAACAGGGTTTATTGGGTAAGGTTAAGGTTATGATGACTTACACCTCAGAGGATTAAAACCTTCCAAAGTTAACTAAAGCTGCTCTATAACTTTATATCTCAAACATCTGCATGTTGGGTTGAAGTGATATCAGCTGAAGTTGAACTAGGGCTGGACATTTGTGCAATACCACTTTGTACCACAAAATGGTGTAGTGAGTCAACTGAACCTTTATTTAACCAGGCAAGTCATGAAGAGCACGTTCTTGTTTACAATGGCAGCCTATCCAAAAAGCAAAACCTCTGGAGACTCTGTGTAGCTTAAAAGAAACACCAACTGTTAGAAAGTAACACACATCCAAAAAATACATTTCAGCACACACTGCTAAAAAACAGCTGGTACTTACAAAAAGGTATTTAAAGGTGGCTAACATTAGCAAACATTAGTTGTCATTAGTCGTCCCAAGCTAGGCTACTGGTCATAGACTGTGCCATTCACTGGCATTCACTGGGCTGAACAAATATGGGGCTCATCGGTTTTTATTTAATATTATAAAATTTTTAATCACGCTTGTTTGTGTAGTTTCTTCACTTGTCATGCACTGTGAATTGTTCAAAGAGCGCAAAAGCCTTGCTTTAATGCGTGTTATCTTGAGTGGGTGTATTGTGAGTGTGTTGAAGTGGGAATATGCATCAGTGGCGCTTGACCAGTAAGCTGACTCACTGATAAACACAAAAACTGGCTCCGTGGGACTGACTGCATTCTTCCCTTTAACATCCTGACCCCTTTCTTTCAAATGGAGCTCATCCAGAAACCAAAGAGTCAGAAAAGAGTCTGCATCCTTCCACAAGTGGTATTGTAAACAGCAGGTGGCTATATTTAGAAATTAAATCAGTTCAACCACAACAAATCATATTTACAGTTAAGAAAACAGCGATTTAGAAAACTTGTCAGTAAACAAATTAGTTCACTCCTTCCACAAATTAAAATACAAATGCCATGTACCTAATTCCTATTGTGAATACTTAAAAAACAAAACAAATTCAACATTTTTAAAATGTAAAGCTGTCATTGCAGTGCAAATTTCCAGT